GACATAGCACATCATGATTGTCTACCAAAAAAAGGGTAAATGAAAGCTTCACCACGCATGATAAACACTTCCAAGATGTTGACCCCACGATACCCGGCCGATGTGGCTCGTTGACTTTTTGTTTACAAAGACCCGGCGGCTTCAATGGGCAGAGCGACTCACAGTCACAGGCAGTTATGCAGCTGGGACTGTTTATGCTGTATAGTCGGTGTAATTAATTTAAAGGAAATTTCGTATTCTACTCTACTCCCTTAAATTTAGGAAAGTACCACCATCATTTCTATTTTGGTCCTTAAAGTAATAGTGACATTTTAAATCTTTAAATCAAATATTTAGCTCGACTAAGTTCTTTTGACGGAATAGTCTCACGTGAGTCACGTGTTTAGGCCACATAGGTAGTTTTAAAAAAAAATAAAATAAAAAATTCTTTCAATTTAGTAGCTAAAAATACCTAAAGTCATTTTAAGACAAAAATAACAATGTAATTGATGGGACACTTTAGAGAGTCGCCCAATAATCGACACGTGTTACTGGCACCAGAGATGTACGGTCACAAAAAACTGACACGCGTCTTCGACACACTCTCCTTGGAGCTCTATTATTGAGACACATGTCCTTGGCATGTGTGATCCTTCCTCGGTACCAAGAACGTGGAGGCACAAAAGACTGACACGTGTTATCAACATACACCCCCTCAAAGCTCTGTTATTGAGACACGTGTGATCCCTTCTCGACGTCATCTGCAAGTGACACATGTCATCAGCACAAAAGTTCTGCAATATCCCTACGAACGACACATGTCTTCAGCGTGATTGACTCTCCCGAGGTTTATTTCTTTACATGTCACCTTGGCTCCCAGACCTAGAAGCAAAGGTATTAGAATTACGATTATCCTTATTTAGAGTTAAACTTGATCAATAATCATTAACTTGCCTTCTCAAAACAGTCGGGTTGACGGGATGTAACCAATGACAATATTACATGTGGCACAATGCACAAAATCAGAGGTCAATTGATAAAGATGCTCTCGCTTGTGATAGTTGTCCCAAGGAAGTATTAAATAACATTCATGGCTCGGCGGACTCCGAAAGAAGCGCATTAACTTCTCGGGGCCCTGAGCATTAAACGTGAATAACCCTCTTTCATGCAATAAAGGGGACACTTTGCCTAAGAACTGCGCCCTACAGATTATCCCTGCAAAAGGACTAATGAGAGGCTTTCTCTTTGGGAGACCCACATGTCTATAACGATTACTTCTATAAAGGTATATGTAGTTCTAAAAAATGTAAGGCAAGGATATGCAAAAACTCATACAATAATGCAATAGTGTTTTCATCCCTCTCTCACACATACTAATTTGACTGTCAAAGGGGTAACGTCGAAAAATACTTCGGCACCCTTATAACTTTCTTTTTTGAGTAACAGATTCCCTTTCGACTGGCCAGAATTGCGTGGATAGCTAAAAAAACAATTCATAACCACTCCTTACAATCTTTCTAGTTTTTCGTTGCCTCTGGATTCTCGACTTTTAGGTAAATCTCGTGTTCGCCAAATGAGAGATCTGTTATATTTTTTTATTGTGCGAAAATCATCGCGTATGGTAATCTAAAAAAATACTTACATCTCTTGCCAAAAAAGGATTGAGTGACTCTCTCTCTCTTTCACAACCAACACCCCAGCTTTGAAAAACCTTCCCCATTGGTGTCGCCCCTCCTTCACCCGAAATCTTCACCTGCCAAATTTAGGTATATTTAAAAAGGACATATTAAGTGTTTGGATGTCCGGCTTGGACAAGGTTGAGAGGTGGATAAATAATGCTTAGATGCATGTTTTTTTTTTATTTTTTAAATTCATATACGAGGGCAAATGTCAAAAATTCCCTTCTACCCTATCATGTGTGAGCCACGTGAGGCCATTCCGTCACAAAAAAATTTAAACACTTTCATTCAAGAGACCAGATTGAAACACGAGTGACACTCAAAAGGATCGGAACGAATTTGCAATTGGTAATTAATTTATAGACCAAAATTGATATGAGTCATACATTATGGGTATAAAATGTAATTTATCGGTAATAAAATTTTATTTCGCTTTACGGCTGAGTAACATGGCGCCCTCCACGCCAAAAACCAGCCACTTTGGCCGGTAAGGAACACTTCGGATGCTAATCCGTGTCGCCAAACACCATTTTATAATTGCATCTCTTTTAATTCAAGCATTTTGACACATTTAGTCAAACTAATTAAAATAATGCGAATAGATTAAGAACAGATCTATATTACATATTAAACGAATTAATTCAGGGGAGAGTACTGAAATTTTATTTTATTTTTTATAATTCTTATATTAAGATAAGTGGGTGAATATAATAATAAAAAATATTATAAATTTTATGCATTACACAAGTCATCTATGGTCTAAACTTAAACTATATAAAAAGAAAATAGTAAACACAACCGTCCTTAGATGCAGTTTTATTAATGTGATTCGATGCACACGAGGTCCAAGGAGGCGACGACTCTCTTTTCCTATTATTTTTCCATTTATCTTAAACTGAAATATTTTAAAATAATAACTTAATAGTTAATTAATTACTCATTCTTGCTAGAATTATAATAATTAAAGGGTTAGTCATAAATTATATCCTAAAAAATATCTTAAATTTTAATTTATACCCTCAAAGATAATAAATCTTAATTTACACCCTTAAAATATAAATTTGTATCGATGTGCATGTGAAATTATCGGCCGACAAACTTTTATGAGCTCTAAAACTAGTTGGATAAGTTACACTTAAATTCTCTCAAATTTATTACTTAATTATTTGGATACCTTACATTTAAAATATTACTTATACACCTCCTGACGTTTATGCATGTACAGTACAATAATCTCTTGTTGTTGATATCTGTTAATATAATCGTTAAAAAATATAATTTCATTATAATAAAAAATTATAATGTTCATACTATCCTTTATTTTGTGAGTCCGTTATACTATAAAGTTCAAAATTAAATTTATCATTTGAATGTCCAATATAATATATGTATTTATATAATATTCTTTATATTCAATACAATATATCACTTCATTTTGTGAATTCATTATACTCTAAAGTTCAAAATTAAATTTATCATTTGAATGCCAAATATAATATATGTATTTATATATTATTTTTTATATTCAATGCAATATATCACTTGAATAAAATTATTTAGATGTCTAATTAAAGAAATATTTTTAGTCATATTTAGATTAATAGGGATGAATGTATAATATTTTAAACGTGGGAGGCCTAAGTGATTAATAACAAGCATAAAAGAGTTTAAATATAATTTATCCATTTAATTTTATACGTCAAACGGACTGCTGTTGTTTTAAGTGCTCACATTGATACAGATTTGTACATTTAAGAGTTCAAATTAAAATTTTTGATTTTGAGGGTATAAATTCTGATAAAAAAAAGGGTATAAATTGAAATTCAAACTACTTTTGAGGTGCAATTTGCGATTACCCCATAATTATATTGCCATCGTCCTGTCCTTTCTGTTTGGGGGTTTCGTCGTTTTTTTGCAGAACAAATAACAAGAAGAGCTCTCTCTCTCTCTCTCTCTCTGTATATGTGTCTCTATGCATCTCTCTCTCTCGCTCTTAATTGGGCGATTATTATAACGTAAGTATTTTTCATTTCCTTGCGATTTTTTGTAACTACGCATTGAATTTGCTGGTAACAGATAGATGTCCTCGATTTGCTTTCTATTTTCAGAAGATTTTTTCGATTTTTTTTGTTTGCTAGGAATCTCCTGAAAAAAGGTAGTTTTTTTTGGCTTCTTCCATGCTTTTATTGTGATCATCAAATTTAAAATCCACATTTCGTCGTTTAAACTGGATTGTTTTGCTATAATCACGTGTTTATTGCACAAGAAAACTGTGATTTGTAGTGGGGACTATTTTTGTTGTGTAGAAGGTGAAATTTGTGATCGTTTTCTTTATTGCTTTTGTTTAACCTACTGAAATGTAAGTCCGGAACACTCTTGACTTTTTGGTACTGTTGGAGCTTAGAAGTGTTATTTTGGCATTTACTGGTGGGGTTGGAGGAATCGTGGGAATTTATTCGAGTTTCTGGTGATTGGCGGTAATAGAAAGGAATTATACTACTATTAGGCTGAGAATAATTTTGTGGGATGGGTTGGTGACTTGGTGTACAACAGCAACAGGCAAATGACTAAGCTTCAGTTGGGTGAGCTTTAAGTCCCTCCGCACATTGACCTTTTGCCCAAAAAAAAGTAGTTGTAATTTATATTGCAGCTCAACCACCACAATTGCCTTCTAACTCTGTCATTTCCTTTAAGTGAAACACCTTTTTAGAAGTACTAGCATAGCCTAATTGTGTGAAAGACAGAACCCATGTTCAGTGAAAATTGGAGACTTGAAAGTGCAATGAAAAAAAAAAAACGTGTTAGTTATATTTTTTCTTTTGATGGTTTTTTTTGGGGGGTGGGGGAGGGGAAGTTTGTATGCTGAACATGATGTAAGTTGCAAAACTCAAACATAGGTTTGCAGTGTGCATCTTGCATTTATTTTTCTTAAGAGGCATTAATATTTAATATTGAAGCTTGAGCTGTAAGTATTGACCTTTTTCTTGAGCTTAAAAGAAAATATAAAAGAGAAAATAGAGTAGGTTGTCACCTTTTCAACTCCTTCCTGATCTTACTACATTTTCAGCACTTACTTTTCGCTGTAAATGTTTTGTTAGAAAGTTATCAGTTTATTTTTTCTTTGGTTAATACTTTAGCTGTAAAGCAAGTGGTACTATGCTAAACTTCTGTGCATCTCCGGTTTGGTTTTACGCATGCTTGTTTTGGCNTGTTAGAAAGTTATCAGTTTATTTTTTCTTTGGTTAATACTTTAGCTGTAAAGCAAGCGGTACTATGCTAAACTTCTGTGCATCTCCGGTTTGGTTTTACGCATGCTTGTTTTGGTAGGAGAGGATATTAAATATGGAGAAAAATGAAGAGACAGGTAGCCCTGGTTGGAGTGCTTCATTCTTCATGCAGACAACTGAAGATGTTGCTCGAGCTGTTGCTGCAGCTGCAACTACTGTTCGTTCTTCACGGCCATCAGTTGTTTTTTCATCGAAGGATGACAGTGGTAGTCAACTTCAGAAACTTCAGAGCCAATTTTCTAGAGTGCTGAAAGGCTTCTCAAGTCCTCCTGAAGTGAAAAGTGGAACTTACAATCCAGAAATCCTAACTAGCCAAAAACGTCAATGGACAAGCTTTCAGTTGCAGTCCTTGGTATGCTTTTCTCTCAAATGGATTCCCTGGGCCAGGGTTTCTCATCTCTTTAGAAGCTCTTTTTTTTCCCTTTTTTCCTTTCCCTTCTTGGCTTGGTTGTTTTTGATTGCCTTGTACATGCCTGCAACATGTATTACTTACTTCAAGAAAGCATGATATGAGGATAATGCTTGTAATGATACAATTTGATCCAAGCATTTGTCATATTGCTGAATACTTCCTATTGAAATGTTGAGAAAATATGTGGATTTTTAGTGCAAAACCTTCTATGATTCGCTCACAAAAATTTGAGCTTCTGTTTTTGTGTTTCATCCATTAATAAGTGTTTTAGTGTGCAGGATAATAGAATTTTCAGTAAACCATCAAGGCTTCTTGAGAGTGTGGTAGTGGCTGGACTTCATCCGAACTGTGATCTTCAGACACTTCACAAGCAATACTTTGGTAGAAAGTCTGAAGGTTCAGGTAGATTTCGAAGTGCGCTTAGTGGTCAATATCAGTCACGTGTAGAACCGAATATTGAGCCACAGGTGCTGAATTATTGTTCCCAAAATATATGACATCTTTGCATTTCAAGTTTGTGAAATTGTGTTGATGAGATGTGATTTTCTGTGTTGCTCTGCAGGTCTTATTTGTTTACCCTCCTGAAAAGCAGCTGCCTCTTAATTATAAGGATCTTCTTTCATTCTGTTTTCCTGGAGGCATAGAGGTTGGTTTTTGCACTCTCACACTTTGTGTTCGTTTTCAATCCTTTCCATTGATTGTGTAGAAATATTGAAAAGTGGTAGAACGTAAGTTTTTTTCAGGTATAGCTGTTATCTTATACTGTCGTTGGCAGCATGAAATTGAGTTGTTGGAATTGGAATTGTGGAGAAATTAGTTCAAAATTTGAACTATACTTTCCCCAATTTCATTTCCAAGGTCTGAAATCCACTCTGCAAAACACCACTTTATGGTAATTGAAGAAGGTTTGAATATTACATCCAACGAGCAAATGGGGCATAGACCACTCATGTTTGGTTTTTAGTGCCATCCAATATTTCCTTGTCAACTTCGTAAGGGATTCAACCCACATTCTTTAGGTTATTCTATGCATTTTATGAAACTTGAATGTNACCACGCATGATAAACACTTCCAAGATGTTGACCCCACGATACCCGGCCGATGTGGCTCGTTGACTTTTTGTTTACAAAGACCCGGCGGCTTCAATGGGCAGAGCGACTCACAGTCACAGGCAGTTATGCAGCTGGGACTGTTTATGCTGTATAGTCGGTGTAATTAATTTAAAGGAAATTTCGTATTCTACTCTACTCCCTTAAATTTAGGAAAGTACCACCATCATTTCTATTTTGGTCCTTAAAGTAATAGTGACATTTTAAATCTTTAAATCAAATATTTAGCTCGACTAAGTTCTTTTGACGGAATAGTCTCACGTGAGTCACGTGTTTAGGCCACATAGGTAGTTTTAAAAAAAAATAAAATAAAAAATTCTTTCAATTTAGTAGCTAAAAATACCTAAAGTCATTTTAAGACAAAAATAACAATGTAATTGATGGGACACTTTAGAGAGTCGCCCAATAATCGACACGTGTTACTGGCACCAGAGATGTACGGTCACAAAAAACTGACACGCGTCTTCGACACACTCTCCTTGGAGCTCTATTATTGAGACACATGTCCTTGGCATGTGTGATCCTTCCTCGGTACCAAGAACGTGGAGGCACAAAAGACTGACACGTGTTATCAACATACACCCCCTCAAAGCTCTGTTATTGAGACACGTGTGATCCCTTCTCGACGTCATCTGCAAGTGACACATGTCATCAGCACAAAAGTTCTGCAATATCCCTACGAACGACACATGTCTTCAGCGTGATTGACTCTCCCGAGGTTTATTTCTTTACATGTCACCTTGGCTCCCAGACCTAGAAGCAAAGGTATTAGAATTACGATTATCCTTATTTAGAGTTAAACTTGATCAATAATCATTAACTTGCCTTCTCAAAACAGTCGGGTTGACGGGATGTAACCAATGACAATATTACATGTGGCACAATGCACAAAATCAGAGGTCAATTGATAAAGATGCTCTCGCTTGTGATAGTTGTCCCAAGGAAGTATTAAATAACATTCATGGCTCGGCGGACTCCGAAAGAAGCGCATTAACTTCTCGGGGCCCTGAGCATTAAACGTGAATAACCCTCTTTCATGCAATAAAGGGGACACTTTGCCTAAGAACTGCGCCCTACAGATTATCCCTGCAAAAGGACTAATGAGAGGCTTTCTCTTTGGGAGACCCACATGTCTATAACGATTACTTCTATAAAGGTATATGTAGTTCTAAAAAATGTAAGGCAAGGATATGCAAAAACTCATACAATAATGCAATAGTGTTTTCATCCCTCTCTCACACATACTAATTTGACTGTCAAAGGGGTAACGTCGAAAAATACTTCGGCACCCTTATAACTTTCTTTTTTGAGTAACAGATTCCCTTTCGACTGGCCAGAATTGCGTGGATAGCTAAAAAAACAATTCATAACCACTCCTTACAATCTTTCTAGTTTTTCGTTGCCTCTGGATTCTTGACTTTTAGGTAAATCTCGTGTTCGCCAAATGAGAGATCTGTTATATTTTTTTATTGTGCGAAAATCATCGCGTATGGTAATCTAAAAAAATACTTACATCTCTTGCCAAAAAAGGATTGAGTGACTCTCTCTCTCTTTCACAACCAACACCCCAGCTTTGAAAAACCTTCCCCATTGGTGTCGCCCCTCCTTCACCCGAAATCCTCACCTGCCAAATTTAGGTATATTTAAAAAGGACATATTAAGTGTTTGGATGTCCGGCTTGGACAAGGTTGAGAGGTGGATAAATAATGCTTAGATGCATGTTTTTTTTTTATTTTTTAAATTCATATACGAGGGCAAATGTCAAAAATTCCCTTCTACCCTATCATGTGTGAGCCACGTGAGGCCATTCCGTCACAAAAAAATTTAAACACTTTCATTCAAGAGACCAGATTGAAACACGAGTGACACTCAAAAGGATCGGAAGGAATTTGCAATTGGTAATTAATTTATAGACCAAAATTGATATGAGTCATACATTATGGGTATAAAATGTAATTTATCGGTAATAAAATTTTATTTCGCTTTACGGCTGAGTAACATGGCGCCCTCCACGCCAAAAACCAGCCACTTTGGCCGGTAAGGAACACTTCGGAAGCTAATCCGTGTCGCCAAACACCATTTTATAATTGCATCTCTTTTAATTCAAGCATTTTGACACATTTAGTCAAACTAATTAAAATAATGCGCATAGATTAAGAACAGATCTATATTACATATTAAACGAATTAATTCAGGGGAGAGTACTGAAATTTTATTTTATTTTTCATAATTCTTATATTAAGATAAGTGGGTGAATATAATAATAAAAAATATTATAAATTTTATGCATTACACAAGTCATCTATGGTCTAAACTTAAACTATATAAAAAGAAAATAGTAAAACGACCGTCCTTAGATGCAGTTTTATTAATGTGATTCGATGCACACGAGGTCCAAGGAGGCGACGACTCTCTTTTCCTATTATTTTTCCATTTATCTTAAACTGAAATATTTTAAAATAATAACTTAATAGTTAATTAATTACTCATTCTTGCTAGAATTATAATAATTAAAGGGTTAGTCATAAATTATATCCTAAAAAATATCTTAAATTTTAATTTATACCCTCAAAGATAATAAATCTTAATTTACACCCTTAAAATATAAATTTGTATCGATGTGCATGTGAAATTATCGGCCGACAAACTTTAATGAGCTCTAAAACTAGTTGGATAAGTTACACTTAAATTCTCTCAAATTTATTACTTAATTATTTGGATACCTTACATTTAAAATATTACTTATACACCTCCTGACGTTTATGCATGTACAGTACAATAATCTCTTGTTGTTGATATCTGTTAATATAATCGTTAAAAAATATAATTTCATTATAATAAAAAATTATAATGTTCATACTATCCTTTATTTTGTGAGTCCGTTATACTATAAAGTTCAAAATTAAATTTATCATTTGAATGTCCAATATAATATATGTATTTATATAATATTCTTTATATTCAATACAATATATCACTTCATTTTGTGAATTCATTATACTCTAAAGTTCAAAATTAAATTTATCATTTGAATGCCAAATATAATATATGTATTTATATATTATTTTTTATATTCAATGCAATATATCACTTGAATAAAATTATTTAGATGTCTAATTAAAGAAATATTTTTAGTCATATTTAGATTAATAGGGATGAATGTATAATATTTTAAACGTGGGAGGCCTAAGTGATTAATAACAAGCATAAAAGAGTTTAAATATAATTTATCCATTTAATTTTATACGTCAAACGGACTGCTGTTGTTTTAAGTGCTCACATTGATACAGATTTGTACATTTAAGAGTTCAAATTAAAATTTTTGATTTTGAGGGTATAAATTCTGATAAAAAAAAGGGTATAAATTGAAATTCAAACTACTTTTGAGGTGCAATTTGCGATTACCCCATAATTATATTGCCATCGTCCTGTCCTTTCTGTTTGGGGGTTTCGTCGTTTTTTTGCAGAACAAATAACAAGAAGAGCTCTCTCTCTCTCTCTCTCTCTGTATATGTGTCTCTATGCATCTCTCTCTCTCGCTCTTAATTGGGCGATTATTATAACGTAAGTATTTTTCATTTCCTTGCGATTTTTTGTAACTACGCATTGAATTTGCTGGTAACAGATAGATGTCCTCGATTTGCTTTCTATTTTCAGAAGATTTTTTCGATTTTTTTTGTTTGCTAGGAATCTCCTGAAAAAAGGTAGTTTTTTTTGGCTTCTTCCATGCTTTTATTGTGATCATCAAATTTAAAATCCACATTTCGTCGTTTAAACTGGATTGTTTTGCTATAATCACGTGTTTATTGCACAAGAAAACTGTGATTTGTAGTGGGGACTATTTTTGTTGTGTAGAAGGTGAAATTTGTGATCGTTTTCTTTATTGCTTTTGTTTAACCTACTGAAATGTAAGTCCGGAACACTCTTGACTTTTTGGTACTGTTGGAGCTTAGAAGTGTTATTTTGGCATTTACTGGTGGGGTTGGAGGAATCGTGGGAATTTATTCGAGTTTCTGGTGATTGGCGGTAATAGAAAGGAATTATACTACTATTAGGCTGAGAATAATTTTGTGGGATGGGTTGGTGACTTGGTGTACAACAGCAACAGGCAAATGACTAAGCTTCAGTTGGGTGAGCTTTAAGTCCCTCCGCACATTGACCTTTTGCCCAAAAAAAAGTAGTTGTAATTTATATTGCAGCTCAACCACCACAATTGCCTTCTAACTCTGTCATTTCCTTTAAGTGAAACACCTTTTTAGAAGTACTAGCATAGCCTAATTGTGTGAAAGACAGAACCCATGTTCAGTGAAAATTGGAGACTTGAAAGTGCAATGAAAAAAAAAAAACGTGTTAGTTATATTTTTTCTTTTGATGGTTTTTTTTGGGGGGTGGGGGAGGGGAAGTTTGTATGCTGAACATGATGTAAGTTGCAAAACTCAAACATAGGTTTGCAGTGTGCATCTTGCATTTATTTTTCTTAAGAGGCATTAATATTTAATATTGAAGCTTGAGCTGTAAGTATTGACCTTTTTCTTGAGCTTAAAAGAAAATATAAAAGAGAAAATAGAGTAGGTTGTCACCTTTTCAACTCCTTCCTGATCTTACTACATTTTCAGCACTTACTTTTCGCTGTAAATGTTTTGTTAGAAAGTTATCAGTTTATTTTTTCTTTGGTTAATACTTTAGCTGTAAAGCAAGCGGTACTATGCTAAACTTCTGTGCATCTCCGGTTTGGTTTTACGCATGCTTGTTTTGGTAGGAGAGGATATTAAATATGGAGAAAAATGAAGAGACAGGTAGCCCTGGTTGGAGTGCTTCATTCTTCATGCAGACAACTGAAGATGTTGCTCGAGCTGTTGCTGCAGCTGCAACTACTGTTCGTTCTTCACGGCCATCAGTTGTTTTTTCATCGAAGGATGACAGTGGTAGTCAACTTCAGAAACTTCAGAGCCAATTTTCTAGAGTGCTGAAAGGCTTCTCAAGTCCTCCTGAAGTGAAAAGTGGAACTTACAATCCAGAAATCCTAACTAGCCAAAAACGTCAATGGACAAGCTTTCAGTTGCAGTCCTTGGTATGCTTTTCTCTCAAATGGATTCCCTGGGCCAGGGTTTCTCATCTCTTTAGAAGCTCTTTTTTTTCCCTTTTTTCCTTTCCCTTCTTGGCTTGGTTGTTTTTGATTGCCTTGTACATGCCTGCAACATGTATTACTTACTTCAAGAAAGCATGATATGAGGATAATGCTTGTAATGATACAATTTGATCCAAGCATTTGTCATATTGCTGAATACTTCCTATTGAAATGTTGAGAAAATATGTGGATTTTTAGTGCAAAACCTTCTATGATTCGCTCACAAAAATTTGAGCTTCTGTTTTTGTGTTTCATCCATTAATAAGTGTTTTAGTGTGCAGGATAATAGAATTTTCAGTAAACCATCAAGGCTTCTTGAGAGTGTGGTAGTGGCTGGACTTCATCCGAACTGTGATCTTCAGACACTTCACAAGCAATACTTTGGTAGAAAGTCTGAAGGTTCAGGTAGATTTCGAAGTGCGCTTAGTGGTCAATATCAGTCACGTGTAGAACCGAATATTGAGCCACAGGTGCTGAATTATTGTTCCCAAAATATATGACATCTTTGCATTTCAAGTTTGTGAAATTGTGTTGATGAGATGTGATTTTCTGTGTTGCTCTGCAGGTCTTATTTGTTTACCCTCCTGAAAAGCAGCTGCCTCTTAATTATAAGGATCTTCTTTCATTCTGTTTTCCTGGAGGCATAGAGGTTGGTTTTTGCACTCTCACACTTTGTGTTCGTTTTCAATCCTTTCCATTGATTGTGTAGAAATATTGAAAAGTGGTAGAACGTAAGTTTTTTTCAGGTATAGCTGTTATCTTATACTGTCGTTGGCAGCATGAAATTGAGTTGTTGGAATTGGAATTGTGGAGAAATTAGTTCAAAATTTGAACTATACTTTCCCCAATTTCATTTCCAAGGTCTGAAATCCACCCTGCAAAACACCACTTTATGGTAATTGAAGAAGGTTTGAATATTACATCCAACGAGCAAATGGGGCATAGACCACTCATGTTTGGTTTTTAGTGCCATCCAATATTTCCTTGTCAACTTCGTAAGGGATTCAACCCTCATTCTTTAGGTTATTCTATGCATTTTATGAAACTTGAATGTTTCCATTATATATGGTAATTAAATTGTGAATACATTTTGATATCTTTTTTTAATCTGGTTAACTAGATGGGATTCTGCTGCTGCTGGGTCCTAATTCTTTCTCTTTTTTGTTATTATTTGTGGTTAGGATTTGTTTCTTTCACCATCTGTAGGGTTTAAATTTCCTTGGAATTACGTGACTGTTAGATTTGCCATCCTTGTCTCTCTGTTTGTGTCTGACTCTCTGTCACAATTCAAAGTTAACGAGATTGTTTTATTTTCATGGTTAAAAGTTGGTTTTTGTGAAAACAGGTTCATGCCGTTGAGAGAACTCCATCAATGAGTGAATTGAATGAAATACTTCTTGGACAGGTATCTTTGCTATTGTTTTCTACCTTCATATTATTTGGGGATTTTTTTTTTTGCTGAAAAATAAGCAAAAGCTCATGATTTATTAAATTTGTTGTTTCATCAGTGACTTCTATTTTCATTAGGATTTTTTACTAAAGAAAATCATTTGTTTAAAATTACGTTCTTCATTAAGCTTTGCTGTGCATGACACATGAGAAGAATAACATTTTTCTAACCTATATGAGCAATCCCAAAGCCTTTACTTCACCAAATAACAAATAGATCTCATATTTAGTCAAACAATGATCTGAGTTGACATGCTGCTAGTTTTGCAGGAACATCTTAAACAAAGTGATCTGTCCTTTGTATTCCGGTTGCAGGTAATCGGTTAAGTGCCTATAAGTTCCTTTCTGATTTCTTTCATCTGCTATGCGATGCTTCCATTTTTAACTTGAATCAGCATCAACTTACTTCTTGTTGAATTTTCTGTTTGATTTGTCAACTTATTATGTTTTATGGGACTGGATTGNATTAAATTAATTTTAATCTTTATTATATTTTTATTAGTTAAGAATTCGATTTCTTACGTGTAATATTGGATAAGTAGACAACTTTATGCGTCACAAAAATTGGATAATGGTGGCCCTCCTCTATATCCTTGATCCTTGACATAGCACATCATGATTGTCTACCAAAAAAAGGGTAAATGAAAGCACGCATGATAAACACTTCCAAGATGTTGACCCCACGATACCCGGCCGATGTGGCTCGTTGACTTTTTGTTTACAATNTCAGCATCAACTTACTTCTTGTTGAATTTTCTGTTTGATTTGTCAACTTATTATGTTTTATGGGACTGGATTGGGTTGCTCGCTACCTAAACCATGGCTGCTGCAATTATGAGGGCATTTAAGCAACCGTTTTCTTAGTTGCAATTTCANTGGGTTGCTCGCTACCTAAACCATGGCTGCTGCAATTATGAGGGCATTTAAGCAACCATTTTCGTAGTTGCAATTTCTNAAGACCCGGCGGCTTCAATGGGCAGAGCGACTCACAGTCACAGGCAGTTATGCAGCTGGGACTGTTTATGCTGTATAGTCGGTGTAATTAATTTAAAGGAAATTTCGTATTCTACTCTACTCCCTTAAATTTAGGAAAGTACCACCATCATTTCTATTTTGGTCCTTAAAGTAATAGTGACATTTTAAATCTTTAAATCAAATATTTAGCTCGACTAAGTTCTTTTGACGGAATAGTCTCACGTGAGTCACGTGTTTAGGCCACATAGGTAGTTTTAAAAAAAAATAAAATAAAAAATTCTTTCAATTTAGTAGCTAAAAATACCTAAAGTCATTTTAAGACAAAAATAACAATGTAATTGATGGGACACTTTAGAGAGTCGCCCAATAATCGACACGTGTTACTGGCACCAGAGATGTACGGTCACAAAAAACTGACACGCGTCTTCGACACACTCTCCTTGGAGCTCTATTATTGAGACACATGTCCTTGGCATGTGTGATCCTTCCTCGGTACCAAGAACGTGGAGGCACAAAAGACTGACACGTGTTATCGACATACACCCCCTCAAAGCTCTGTTATTGAGACACGTGTGATCCCTTCTCGACGTCATTTGCAAGTGACACATGTCATCAGCACAAAAGTTCTGCAATATCCCTACGAACGACACGTGTCTTTAGCGTGATTGACTCTCCCGAGGTTTATTTCTTTACATGTCACCTTGGCTCCCAGACCTAGAAGCAAAGGTATTAGAATTACGGTTATCCTTATTTAGAGTTAAACTTGATCAATAATCATTAACTTGCCTTCTCAAAACAGTCGGGTTGACGGGATGTAACCAATGACAATATTACATGTGGCACAATGCACAAAATCAGAGGTCAATTGATAAAGATGCTCTCGCTTGTGATAGTTGTCCCAAGGAAGTATTAAATAACATTCATGGCTCGGCGGACTCCGAAAGAAGCGCATTAACTTCTCGGGGCCCTGAGCATTAAACGTGAATAACCCTCTTTCATGCAATAAAGGGGACACTTTGCCTAAGAACTGCGCCCTATNCTTCAATGGGCAGAGCGACTCACAGTCACAGGCAGTTATGCAGCTGGGACTGTTTATGCTGTATAGTCGGTGTAATTAATTTAAAGGAAATTTCGTATTCTACTCTACTCCCTTAAATTTAGGAAAGTACCACCATCATTTCTATTTTGGTCCTTAAAGTAATAGTGACATTTTAAATCTTTAAATCAAATATTTAGCTCGACTAAGTTCTTTTGACGGAATAGTCTCACGTGAGTCACGTGTTTAGGCCACATAGGTAGTTTTAAAAAAAAATAAAATAAAAAATTCTTTCAATTTAGTAGCTAAAAATACCTAAAGTCATTTTAAGACAAAAATAACAATGTAATTGATGGGACACTTTAGAGAGTCGCCCAATAATCGACACGTGTTACTGGCACCAGAGATGTACGGTCACAAAAAACTGACACGCGTCTTCGACACACTCTCCTTGGAGCTCTATTATTGAGACACATGTCCTTGGCATGTGTGATCCTTCCTCGGTACCAAGAACGTGGAGGCACAAAAGACTGACACGTGTTATCGACATACACCCCCTCAAAGCTCTGTTATTGAGACACGTGTGATCCCTTCTCGACGTCATTTGCAAGTGACACATGTCATCAGCACAAAAGTTCTGCAATATCCCTACGAACGACACGTGTCTTCAGCGTGATTGACTCTCCCGAGGTTTATTTCTTTACATGTCACCTTGGCTCCCAGACCTAGAAGCAAAGGTATTAGAATTACGATTATCCTTATTTAGAGTTAAACTTGATCAATAATCATTAACTTGCCTTCTCAAAATAGTCGGGTTGACGGGATGTAACCAATGACAATATTACATGTGGCACAATGCACAAAATCAGAGGTCAATTGATAAAGATGCTCTCGCTTGTGATAGTTGTCCCAAGGAAGTATTAAATAACATTCATGGCTCGGCGGACTCCGAAAGAAGCGCATTAACTTCTCGGGGCCCTGAGCATTAAACGTGAATAACCCTCTTTCATGCAATAAAGGGGACACTTTGCCTAAGAACTGCGCCCTACAGATTATCCCTGCAAAAGGACTAATGAGAGGCTTTCTCTTTGGGAGACCCACATGTCTATAACGATTACTTCTATAAAGGTATATGTAGTTCTAAAAAATGTAAGGCAAGGATATGCAAAAACTCATACAATAATGCAATAGTGTTTTCATCCCTCTCTCACACATACTAATTTGACTGTCAAAGGGGTAACGTCGAAAAATACTTCGGCACCCTTATAACTTTCTTTTTTGAGTAACAGATTCCCTTTCGACTGGCCAGAATTGCGTGGATAGCTAAAAAAACAATTCATAACCACTCCTTACAATCTTTCTAGTTTTTCGTTGCCTCTGGATTCTTGACTTTTAGGTAAATCTCGTGTTCGCCAAATGAGAGATCTGTTATATTTTTTTATTGTGCGAAAATCATCGCGTATGGTAATCTAAAAAAATACTTACATCTCTTGCCAAAAAAGGATTGAGTGACTCTCTCTCTCTTTCACAACCAACACCCCAGCTTTGAAAAACCTTCCCCATTGGTGTCGCCCCTCCTTCACCCGAAATCCTCACCTGCCAAATTTAGGTATATTTAAAAAGGACATATTAAGTGTTTGGATGTCCGGCTTGGACAAGGTTGAGAGGTGGATAAATAATGCTTAGATGCATGTTTTTTTTTTATTTTTTAAATTCATATACGAGGGCAAATGTCAAAAATTCCCTTCTACCCTATCATGTGTGAGCCACGTGAGGCCATTCCGTCACAAAAAAATTTAAACACTTTCATTCAAGAGACCAGATTGAAACACGAGTGACACTCAAAAGGATCGGAAGGAATTTGCAATTGGTAATTAATTTATAGACCAAAATTGATATGAGTCATACATTATGGGTATAAAATGTAATTTATCGGTAATAAAATTTTATTTCGCTTTACGGCTGAGTAACATGGCGCCCTCCACGCCAAAAACCAGCCACTTTGGCCGGTAAGGAACACTTCGGATGCTAATCCGTGTCGCCAAACACCATTTTATAATTGCATCTCTTTTAATTCAAGCATTTTGACACATTTAGTCAAACTAATTAAAATAATGCGAATAGATTAAGAACAGATCTATATTACATATTAAACGAATTAATTCAGGGGAGAGTACTGAAATTTTATTTTATTTTTTATAATTCTTATATTAAGATAAGTGGGTGAATATAATAATAAAAAATATTATAAATTTTATGCATTACACAAGTCATCTATGGTCTAAACTTAAACTATATAAAAAGAAAATAGTAAACACAACCGTCCTTAGATGCAGTTTTATTAATGTGATTCGATGCACACGAGGTCCAAGGAGGCGACGACTCTCTTTTCCTATTATTTTTCCATTTATCTTAAACTGAAATATTTTAAAATAATAACTTAATAGTTAATTAATTACTCATTCTTGCTAGAATTATAATAATTAAAGGGTTAGTCATAAATTATATCCTAAAAAATATCTTAAATTTTAATTTATACCCTCAAAGATAATAAATCTTAATTTACACCCTTAAAATATAAATTTGTATCGATGTGCATGTGAAATTATCGGCCGACAAACTTTTATGAGCTCTAAAACTAGTTGGATAAGTTACACTTAAATTCTCTCAAATTTATTACTTAATTATTTGGATACCTTACATTTAAAATATTACTTATACACCTCCTGACGTTTATGCATGTACAGTACAATAATCTCTTGTTGTTGATATCTGTTAATATAATCGTTAAAAAATATAATTTCATTATAATAAAAAATTATAATGTTCATACTATCCTTTATTTTGTGAGTCCGTTATACTATAAAGTTCAAAATTAAATTTATCATTTGAATGTCCAATATAATATATGTATTTATATAATATTCTTTATATTCAATACAATATATCACTTCATTTTGTGAATTCATTATACTCTAAAGTTCAAAATTAAATTTATCATTTGAATGCCAAATATAATATATGTATTTATATATTATTTTTTATATTCAATGCAATATATCACTTGAATAAAATTATTTAGATGTCTAATTAAAGAAATATTTTTAGTCATATTTAGATTAATAGGGATGAATGTATAATATTTTAAACGTGGGAGGCCTAAGTGATTAATAACAAGCATAAAAGAGTTTAAATATAATTTATCCATTTAATTTTATACGTCAAACGGACTGCTGTTGTTTTAAGTGCTCACATTGATACAGATTTGTACATTTAAGAGTTCAAATTAAAATTTTTGATTTTGAGGGTATAAATTCTGATAAAAAAAAGGGTATAAATTGAAATTCAAACTACTTTTGAGGTGCAATTTGCGATTACCCCATAATTATATTGCCATCGTCCTGTCCTTTCTGTTTGGGGGTTTCGTCGTTTTTTTGCAGAACAAATAACAAGAAGAGCTCTCTCTCTCTCTCTCTCTCTGTATATGTGTCTCTATGCATCTCTCTCTCTCGCTCTTAATTGGGCGATTATTATAACGTAAGTATTTTTCATTTCCTTGCGATTTTTTGTAACTACGCATTGAATTTGCTGGTAACAGATAGATGTCCTCGATTTGCTTTCTATTTTCAGAAGATTTTTTCGATTTTTTTTGTTTGCTAGGAATCTCCTGAAAAAAGGTAGTTTTTTTTGGCTTCTTCCATGCTTTTATTGTGATCATCAAATTTAAAATCCACATTTCGTCGTTTAAACTGGATTGTTTTGCTATAATCACGTGTTTATTGCACAAGAAAACTGTGATTTGTAGTGGGGACTATTTTTGTTGTGTAGAAGGTGAAATTTGTGATCGTTTTCTTTATTGCTTTTGTTTAACCTACTGAAATGTAAGTCCGGAACACTCTTGACTTTTTGGTACTGTTGGAGCTTAGAAGTGTTATTTTGGCATTTACTGGTGGGGTTGGAGGAATCGTGGGAATTTATTCGAGTTTCTGGTGATTGGCGGTAATAGAAAGGAATTATACTACTATTAGGCTGAGAATAATTTTGTGGGATGGGTTGGTGACTTGGTGTACAACAGCAACAGGCAAATGACTAAGCTTCAGTTGGGTGAGCTTTAAGTCCCTCCGCACATTGACCTTTTGCCCAAAAAAAAGTAGTTGTAATTTATATTGCAGCTCAACCACCACAATTGCCTTCTAACTCTGTCATTTCCTTTAAGTGAAACACCTTTTTAGAAGTACTAGCATAGCCTAATTGTGTGAAAGACAGAACCCATGTTCAGTGAAAATTGGAGACTTGAAAGTGCAATGAAAAAAAAAAAACGTGTTAGTTATATTTTTTCTTTTGATGGTTTTTTTTGGGGGGTGGGGGAGGGGAAGTTTGTATGCTGAACATGATGTAAGTTGCAAAACTCAAACATAGGTTTGCAGTGTGCATCTTGCATTTATTTTTCTTAAGAGGCATTAATATTTAATATTGAAGCTTGAGCTGTAAGTATTGACCTTTTCCTTGAGCTTAAAAGAAAATATAAAAGAGAAAATAGAGTAGGGTTGTCACCTTTTCAACTCCTTCCTGATCTTACTACATTTTCAGCACTTACTTTTCGCTGTAAATGTTTTGTTAGAAAGTTATCAGTTTATTTTTTCTTTGGTTAATACTTTAGCTGTAAAGCAAGCGGTACTATGCTAAACTTCTGTGCATCTCCGGTTTGGTTTTACGCATGCTTGTTTTGGTAGGAGAGGATATTAAATATGGAGAAAAATGAAGAGACAGGTAGCCCTGGTTGGAGTGCTTCATTCTTCATGCAGACAACTGAAGATGTTGCTCGAGCTGTTGCTGCAGCTGCAACTACTGTTCGTTCTTCACGGCCATCAGTTGTTTTTTCATCGAAGGATGACAGTGGTAGTCAACTTCAGAAACTTCAGAGCCAATTTTCTAGAGTGCTGAAAGGCTTCTCAAGTCCTCCTGAAGTGAAAAGTGGAACTTACAATCCAGAAATCCTAACTAGCCAAAAACGTCAATGGACAAGCTTTCAGTTGCAGTCCTTGGTATGCTTTTCTCTCAAATGGATTCCCTGGGCCAGGGTTTCTCATCTCTTTAGAAGCTCTTTTTTTTCCCTTTTTTCCTTTCCCTTCTTGGCTTGGTTGTTTTTGATTGCCTTGTACATGCCTGCAACATGTATTATTTACTTCAAGAAAGCATGATATGAGGATAATGCTTGTAATGATACAATTTGATCCAAGCATTTGTCATATTGCTGAATACTTCCTATTGAAATGTTGAGAAAATATGTGGATTTTTAGTGCAAAACCTTCTATGATTCGCTCACAAAAATTTGAGCTTCTGTTTTTGTGTTTCATCCATTAATAAGTGTTTTAGTGTGCAGGATAATAGAATTTTCAGTAAACCATCAAGGCTTCTTGAGAGTGTGGTAGTGGCTGGACTTCATCCGAACTGTGATCTTCAGACACTTCACAAGCAATACTTTGGTAGAAAGTCTGAAGGTTCAGGTAGATTTCGAAGTGCGCTTAGTGGTCAATATCAGTCACGTGTAGAACCGAATATTGAGCCACAGGTGCTGAATTATTGTTCCCAAAATATATGACATCTTTGCATTTCAAGTTTGTGAAATTGTGTTGATGAGATGTGATTTTCTGTGTTGCTCTGCAGGTCTTATTTGTTTACCCTCCTGAAAAGCAGCTGCCTCTTAATTATAAGGATCTTCTTTCATTCTGTTTTCCTGGAGGCATAGAGGTTGGTTTTTGCACTCTCACACTTTGTGTTCGTTTTCAATCCTTTCCATTGATTGTGTAGAAATATTGAAAAGTGGTAGAACGTAAGTTTTTTTCAGGTATAGCTGTTATCTTATACTGTCGTTGGCAGCATGAAATTGAGTTGTTGGAATTGGAATTGTGGAGAAATTAGTTCAAAATTTGAACTATACTTTCCCCAATTTCATTTCCAAGGTCTGAAATCCACTCTGCAAAACACCACTTTATGGTAATTGAAGAAGGTTTGAATATTACATCCAACGAGCAAATGGGGCATAGACCACTCATGTTTGGTTTTTAGTGCCATCCAATATTTCCTTGTCAACTTCGTAAGGGATTCAACCCACATTCTTTAGGTTATTCTATGCATTTTATGAAACTTGAATGTTTCCATTATATATGGTAATTAAATTGTGAATACATTTTGATATCTTTTTTTAATCTGGTTAACTAGATGGGATTCTGCTGCTGCTGGGTCCTAATTCTTTCTCTTTTTTGTTATTATTTGTGGTTAGGATTTGTTTCTTTCACCATCTGTAGGGTTTAAATTTCCTTGGAATTACGTGACTGTTAGATTTGCCATCCTTGTCTCTCTGTTTGTGTCTGACTCTCTGTCACAATTCAAAGTTAACGAGATTGTTTTATTTTCATGGTTAAAAGTTGGTTTTTGTGAAAACAGGTTCATGCCGTTGAGAGAACTCCATCAATGAGTGAATTGAATGAAATACTTCTTGGACAGGTATCTTTGCTATTGTTTTCTACCTTCATATTATTTGGGGATTTTTTTTTTTGCTGAAAAATAAGCAAAAGCTCATGATTTATTAAATTTGTTGTTTCATCAGTGACTTCTATTTTCATTAGGATTTTTTACTAAAGAAAATCATTTGTTTAAAATTACGTTCTTCATTAAGCTTTGCTGTGCATGACACATGAGAAGAATAACATTTTTCTAACCTATATGAGCAATCCCAAAGCCTTTACTTCACCAAATAACAAATAGATCTCATATTTAGTCAAACAATGATCTGAGTTGACATGCTGCTAGTTTTGCAGGAACATCTTAAACAAAGTGATCTGTCCTTTGTATTCCGGTTGCAGGTAATCGGTTAAGTGCCTATAAGTTCCTTTCTGATTTCTTTCATCTGCTATGCGATGCTTCCATTTTTAACTTGAATCAGCATCAACTTACTTCTTGTTGAATTTTCTGTTTGATTTGTCAACTTATTATGTTTTATGGGACTGGATTGGGTTGCTCGCTACCTAAACCATGGCTGCTGCAATTATGAGGGCATTTAAGCAACCATTTTCGTAGTTGCAATTTCTTATGTTGTTTGGTTTTAGCCAATTGTTTCCTACTTGTCATTTATTTTTACATTGTTCTGTTGCTTTGAATTTGAATTTGTGGTATTGGTTGTACTAAGAAGTGGGATTAAACTGGGTGATCCTTGCAACATCTATTTCTTTGTTTAATGAAGATGTTAAAGGGTTTAGGGGATTTGACAAAGGGGTTACTCTTTGTAATTGTGCTATCATTGCTACTATGTAGGTTATTTGGAAGGAGCGAAATATAAGAATTTTTGATGCCCGGAATGAGTGTGTGGCAGGACTATAGGAGCGTATTCATTTTTTGGCATCATTTTGGGCTTCGATTACAATGGATTTTAAGGGAACTCCACTTTTTCCTATAGTAGCGGGATGGAGAGCATTNAAATAAAATAAAAAATTCTTTCAATTTAGTAGCTAAAAATACCTAAAGTCATTTTAAGACAAAAATAACAATGTAATTGATGGGACACTTTAGAGAGTCGCCCAATAATCGACACGTGTTACTGGCACCAGAGATGTACGGTCACAAAAAACTGACACGCGTCTTCGACACACTCTCCTTGGAGCTCTATTATTGAGACACATGTCCTTGGCATGTGTGATCCTTCCTCGGTACCAAGAACGTGGAGGCACAAAAGACTGACACGTGTTATCGACATACACCCCCTCAAAGCTCTGTTATTGAGACACGTGTGATCCCTTCTCGACGTCATTTGCAAGTGACACATGTCATCAGCACAAAAGTTCTGCAATATCCCTACGAACGACACGTGTCTTCAGCGTGATTGACTCTCCCGAGGTTTATTTCTTTACATGTCACCTTGGCTCCCAGACCTAGAAGCAAAGGTATTAGAATTACGATTATCCTTATTTAGAGTTAAACTTGATCAATAATCATTAACTTGCCTTCTCAAAATAGTCGGGTTGACGGGATGTAACCAATGACAATATTACATGTGGCACAATGCACAAAATCAGAGGTCAATTGATAAAGATGCTCTCGCTTGTGATAGTTGTCCCAAGGAAGTATTAAATAACATTCATGGCTCGGCGGACTCCGAAAGAAGCGCATTAACTTCTCGGGGCCCTGAGCATTAAACGTGAATAACCCTCTTTCATGCAATAAAGGGGACACTTTGCCTAAGAACTGCGCCCTACAGATTATCCCTGCAAAAGGACTAATGAGAGGCTTTCTCTTTGGGAGACCCACATGTCTATAACGATTACTTCTATAAAGGTATATGTAGTTCTAAAAAATGTAAGGCAAGGATATGCAAAAACTCATACAATAATGCAATAGTGTTTTCATCCCTCTCTCACACATACTAATTTGACTGTCAAAGGGGTAACGTCGAAAAATACTTCGGCACCCTTATAACTTTCTTTTTTGAGTAACAGATTCCCTTTCGACTGGCCAGAATTGCGTGGATAGCTAAAAAAACAATTCATAACCACTCCTTACAATCTTTCTAGTTTTTCGTTGCCTCTGGATTCTTGACTTTTAGGTAAATCTCGTGTTCGCCAAATGAGAGATCTGTTATATTTTTTTATTGTGCGAAAATCATCGCGTATGGTAATCTAAAAAAATACTTACATCTCTTGCCAAAAAAGGATTGAGTGACTCTCTCTCTCTTTCACAACCAACACCCCAGCTTTGAAAAACCTTCCCCATTGGTGTCGCCCCTCCTTCACCCGAAATCCTCACCTGCCAAATTTAGGTATATTTAAAAAGGACATATTAAGTGTTTGGATGTCCGGCTTGGACAAGGTTGAGAGGTGGATAAATAATGCTTAGATGCATGTTTTTTTTTTATTTTTTAAATTCATATACGAGGGCAAATGTCAAAAATTCCCTTCTACCCTATCATGTGTGAGCCACGTGAGGCCATTCCGTCACAAAAAAATTTAAACACTTTCATTCAAGAGACCAGATTGAAACACGAGTGACACTCAAAAGGATCGGAAGGAATTTGCAATTGGTAATTAATTTATAGACCAAAATTGATATGAGTCATACATTATGGGTATAAAATGTAATTTATCGGTAATAAAATTTTATTTCGCTTTACGGCTGAGTAACATGGCGCCCTCCACGCCAAAAACCAGCCACTTTGGCCGGTAAGGAACACTTCGGAAGCTAATCCGTGTCGCCAAACACCATTTTATAATTGCATCTCTTTTAATTCAAGCATTTTGACACATTTAGTCAAACTAATTAAAATAATGCGAATAGATTAAGAACAGATCTATATTACATATTAAACGAATTAATTCAGGGGAGAGTACTGAAATTTTATTTTATTTTTTATAATTCTTATATTAAGATAAGTGGGTGAATATAATAATAAAAAATATTATAAATTTTATGCATTACACAAGTCATCTATGGTCTAAACTTAAACTATATAAAAAGAAAATAGTAAACACAACCGTCCTTAGATGCAGTTTTATTAATGTGATTCGATGCACACGAGGTCCAAGGAGGCGACGACTCTCTTTTCCTATTATTTTTCCATTTATCTTAAACTGAAATATTTTAAAATAATAACTTAATAGTTAATTAATTACTCATTCTTGCTAGAATTATAATAATTAAAGGGTTAGTCATAAATTATATCCTAAAAAATATCTTAAATTTTAATTTATACCCTCAAAGATAATAAATCTTAATTTACACCCTTAAAATATAAATTTGTATCGATGTGCATGTGAAATTATCGGCCGACAAACTTTTATGAGCTCTAAAACTAGTTGGATAAGTTACACTTAAATTCTCTCAAATTTATTACTTAATTATTTGGATACCTTACATTTAAAATATTACTTATACACCTCCTGACGTTTATGCATGTACAGTACAATAATCTCTTGTTGTTGATATCTGTTAATATAATCGTTAAAAAATATAATTTCATTATAATAAAAAATTATAATGTTCATACTATCCTTTATTTTGTGAGTCCGTTATACTATAAAGTTCAAAATTAAATTTATCATTTGAATGTCCAATATAATATATGTATTTATATAATATTCTTTATATTCAATACAATATATCACTTCATTTTGTGAATTCATTATACTCTAAAGTTCAAAATTAAATTTATCATTTGAATGCCAAATATAATATATGTATTTATATATTATTTTTTATATTCAATGCAATATATCACTTGAATAAAATTATTTAGATGTCTAATTAAAGAAATATTTTTAGTCATATTTAGATTAATAGGGATGAATGTATAATATTTTAAACGTGGGAGGCCTAAGTGATTAATAACAAGCATAAAAGAGTTTAAATATAATTTATCCATTTAATTTTATACGTCAAACGGACTGCTGTTGTTTTAAGTGCTCACATTGATACAGATTTGTACATTTAAGAGTTCAAATTAAAATTTTTGATTTTGAGGGTATAAATTCTGATAAAAAAAAGGGTATAAATTGAAATTCAAACTACTTTTGAGGTGCAATTTGCGATTACCCCATAATTATATTGCCATCGTCCTGTCCTTTCTGTTTGGGGGTTTCGTCGTTTTTTTGCAGAACAAATAACAAGAAGAGCTCTCTCTCTCTCTCTCTCTCTGTATATGTGTCTCTATGCATCTCTCTCTCTCGCTCTTAATTGGGCGATTATTATAACGTAAGTATTTTTCATTTCCTTGCGATTTTTTGTAACTACGCATTGAATTTGCTGGTAACAGATAGATGTCCTCGATTTGCTTTCTATTTTCAGAAGATTTTTTCGATTTTTTTTGTTTGCTAGGAATCTCCTGAAAAAAGGTAGTTTTTTTTGGCTTCTTCCATGCTTTTATTGTGATCATCAAATTTAAAATCCACATTTCGTCGTTTAAACTGGATTGTTTTGCTATAATCACGTGTTTATTGCACAAGAAAACTGTGATTTGTAGTGGGGACTATTTTTGTTGTGTAGAAGGTGAAATTTGTGATCGTTTTCTTTATTGCTTTTGTTTAACCTACTGAAATGTAAGTCCGGAACACTCTTGACTTTTTGGTACTGTTGGAGCTTAGAAGTGTTATTTTGGCATTTACTGGTGGGGTTGGAGGAATCGTGGGAATTTATTCGAGTTTCTGGTGATTGGCGGTAATAGAAAGGAATTATACTACTATTAGGCTGAGAATAATTTTGTGGGATGGGTTGGTGACTTGGTGTACAACAGCAACAGGCAAATGACTAAGCTTCAGTTGGGTGAGCTTTAAGTCCCTCCGCACATTGACCTTTTGCCCAAAAAAAAGTAGTTGTAATTTATATTGCAGCTCAACCACCACAATTGCCTTCTAACTCTGTCATTTCCTTTAAGTGAAACACCTTTTTAGAAGTACTAGCATAGCCTAATTGTGTGAAAGACAGAACCCATGTTCAGTGAAAATTGGAGACTTGAAAGTGCAATGAAAAAAAAAAAACGTGTTAGTTATATTTTTTCTTTTGATGGTTTTTTTTGGGGGGTGGGGGAGGGGAAGTTTGTATGCTGAACATGATGTAAGTTGCAAAACTCAAACATAGGTTTGCAGTGTGCATCTTGCATTTATTTTTCTTAAGAGGCATTAATATTTAATATTGAAGCTTGAGCTGTAAGTATTGACCTTTTCCTTGAGCTTAAAAGAAAATATAAAAGAGAAAATAGAGTAGGGTTGTCACCTTTTCAACTCCTTCCTGATCTTACTACATTTTCAGCACTTACTTTTCGCTGTAAATGTTTTGTTAGAAAGTTATCAGTTTATTTTTTCTTTGGTTAATACTTTAGCTGTAAAGCAAGCGGTACTATGCTAAACTTCTGTGCATCTCCGGTTTGGTTTTACGCATGCTTGTTTTGGTAGGAGAGGATATTAAATATGGAGAAAAATGAAGAGACAGGTAGCCCTGGTTGGAGTGCTTCATTCTTCATGCAGACAACTGAAGATGTTGCTCGAGCTGTTGCTGCAGCTGCAACTACTGTTCGTTCTTCACGGCCATCAGTTGTTTTTTCATCGAAGGATGACAGTGGTAGTCAACTTCAGAAACTTCAGAGCCAATTTTCTAGAGTGCTGAAAGGCTTCTCAAGTCCTCCTGAAGTGAAAAGTGGAACTTACAATCCAGAAATCCTAACTAGCCAAAAACGTCAATGGACAAGCTTTCAGTTGCAGTCCTTGGTATGCTTTTCTCTCAAATGGATTCCCTGGGCCAGGGTTTCTCATCTCTTTAGAAGCTCTTTTTTTTCCCTTTTTTCCTTTCCCTTCTTGGCTTGGTTGTTTTTGATTGCCTTGTACATGCCTGCAACATGTATTATTTACTTCAAGAAAGCATGATATGAGGATAATGCTTGTAATGATACAATTTGATCCAAGCATTTGTCATATTGCTGAATACTTCCTATTGAAATGTTGAGAAAATATGTGGATTTTTAGTGCAAAACCTTCTATGATTCGCTCACAAAAATTTGAGCTTCTGTTTTTGTGTTTCATCCATTAATAAGTGTTTTAGTGTGCAGGATAATAGAATTTTCAGTAAACCATCAAGGCTTCTTGAGAGTGTGGTAGTGGCTGGACTTCATCCGAACTGTGATCTTCAGACACTTCACAAGCAATACTTTGGTAGAAAGTCTGAAGGTTCAGGTAGATTTCGAAGTGCGCTTAGTGGTCAATATCAGTCACGTGTAGAACCGAATATTGAGCCACAGGTGCTGAATTATTGTTCCCAAAATATATGACATCTTTGCATTTCAAGTTTGTGAAATTGTGTTGATGAGATGTGATTTTCTGTGTTGCTCTGCAGGTCTTATTTGTTTACCCTCCTGAAAAGCAGCTGCCTCTTAATTATAAGGATCTTCTTTCATTCTGTTTTCCTGGAGGCATAGAGGTTGGTTTTTGCACTCTCACACTTTGTGTTCGTTTTCAATCCTTTCCATTGATTGTGTAGAAATATTGAAAAGTGGTAGAACGTAAGTTTTTTTCAGGTATAGCTGTTATCTTATACTGTCGTTGGCAGCATGAAATTGAGTTGTTGGAATTGGAATTGTGGAGAAATTAGTTCAAAATTTGAACTATACTTTCCCCAATTTCATTTCCAAGGTCTGAAATCCACCCTGCAAAACACCACTTTATGGTAATTGAAGAAGGTTTGAATATTACATCCAACGAGCAAATGGGGCATAGACCACTCATGTTTGGTTTTTAGTGCCATCCAATATTTCCTTGTCAACTTCGTAAGGGATTCAACCCACATTCTTTAGGTTATTCTATGCATTTTATGAAACTTGAATGTTTCCATTATATATGGTAATTAAATTGTGAATACATTTTGATATCTTTTTTTAATCTGGTTAACTAGATGGGATTCTGCTGCTGCTGGGTCCTAATTCTTTCTCTTTTTTGTTATTATTTGTGGTTAGGATTTGTTTCTTTCACCATCTGTAGGGTTTAAATTTCCTTGGAATTACGTGACTGTTAGATTTGCCATCCTTGTCTCTCTGTTTGTGTCTGACTCTCTGTCACAATTCAAAGTTAACGAGATTGTTTTATTTTCATGGTTAAAAGTTGGTTTTTGTGAAAACAGGTTCATGCCGTTGAGAGAACTCCATCAATGAGTGAATTGAATGAAATACTTCTTGGACAGGTATCTTTGCTATTGTTTTCTACCTTCATATTATTTGGGGATTTTTTTTTTTGCTGAAAAATAAGCAAAAGCTCATGATTTATTAAATTTGTTGTTTCATCAGTGACTTCTATTTTCATTAGGATTTTTTACTAAAGAAAATCATTTGTTTAAAATTACGTTCTTCATTAAGCTTTGCTGTGCATGACACATGAGAAGAATAACATTTTTCTAACCTATATGAGCAATCCCAAAGCCTTTACTTCACCAAATAACAAATAGATCTCATATTTAGTCAAACAATGATCTGAGTTGACATGCTGCTAGTTTTGCAGGAACATCTTAAACAAAGTGATCTGTCCTTTGTATTCCGGTTGCAGGTAATCGGTTAAGTGCCTATAAGTTCCTTTCTGATTTCTTTCATCTGCTATGCGATGCTTCCATTTTTAACTTGAATCAGCATCAACTTACTTCTTGTTGAATTTTCTGTTTGATTTGTCAACTTATTATGTTTTATGGGACTGGATTGGGTTGCTCGCTACCTAAACCATGGCTGCTGCAATTATGAGGGCATTTAAGCAACCATTTTCGTAGTTGCAATTTCATATGTTGTTTGGTTTTAGCCAATTGTTTCCTACTTGTCATTTATTTTTACATTGTTCTGTTGCTTTGAATTTGAATTTGTGGTATTGGTTGTACTAAGAAGTGGGATTAAACTGGGTGATCCTTGCAACATCTATTTCTTTGTTTAATGAAGATGTTAAAGGGTTTAGGGGATTTGACAAAGGGGTTACTCTTTGTAATTGTGCTATCATTGCTACTATGTAGGTTATTTGGAAGGAGCGAAATATAAGAATTTTTGATGCCCGGAATGAGTGTGTGGCAGGACTATAGGAGCGTATTCATTTTTTGGCATCATTTTGGGCTTCGATTACAATGGATTTTAAGGGAACTCCACTTTTTCCTATAGTAGTGGGATGGAGAGCATTATGTGATGTATAGGCTTCTTAAAGTTTGTTGCTTTTCAATTTGTGTTCCCTTGATTATGATTGGATTTCTTATCCAATCTTTATTGATGTACTACCTTTTTCTGTTTTCTTACAAAAAAAAAAAAAAAAAAATTGTTTCCTACTTGTTTAGCTTGATTATTCCCAAGGTGTTCAGTGAACACGATTGAATGACCGAGTGTTTGTAGGCAAAGGGCCAAAATTATGACTGCAAAGCTGATGATGTATTGGAAATACTCATTGTTGAGCATGCTGAGGATGGGTGTAGCTCTTACCATAATAGGATAATGACGTGTGGATGTTAAGAATGCTTTCTATACAAACCCTTCTATCCTAGTGAACTTTAACGCACTATTTGTCTAAATTATTTATGTTGTAGTTAAAATGCTATGACATTGCCTTGTTAAAGACCTCGTTCTATGTCATCCTTGTTTTGTTCTCATATACGCTGAAGTTTNTGTGATCCTTCCTCGGTACCAAGAACGTGGAGGCACAAAAGACTGACACGTGTTATCGACATACACCCCCTCAAAGCTCTGTTATTGAGACACGTGTGATCCCTTCTCGACGTCATTTGCAAGTGACACATGTCATCAGCACAAAAGTTCTGCAATATCCCTACGAACGACACGTGTCTTTAGCGTGATTGACTCTCCCGAGGTTTATTTCTTTACATGTCACCTTGGCTCCCAGACCTAGAAGCAAAGGTATTAGAATTACGGTTATCCTTATTTAGAGTTAAACTTGATCAATAATCATTAACTTGCCTTCTCAAAATAGTCGGGTTGACGGGATGTAACCAATGACAATANAAAGACCTCGTTCTATGTCATCCTTGTTTTGTTCTCATATACGCTGAAGTTTTCTCTAGGGAAAAAGGCTATAAAGTAACTGAGAATGTAGCAATTTAGCATCAGAGAGCTCTGATTTGAATTAATAAAAACCACTAAAGTTGTGTAAGANTTTCTCTAGGGAAAAAGGCTATAAAGTAACTGAGAATGTAGCAATTTAGCATCAGAGCTCTGATTTGAATTAATAAAAACCACTAAAGTTGTGTAAGGNAAGGAAGTATTAAATAACATTCATGGCTCGGCGGACTCCGAAAGAAGCGCATTAACTTCTCGGGGCCCTGAGCATTAAACGTGAATAGCCCTCTTTCATGCAATAAAGGGGACACTTTGCCTAAGAACTGCGCCCTACAGATTATCCCTGCAAAAGGACTAATGAGAGGCTTTCTCTTTGGGAGACCCACATGTCTATAACGATTACTTCTATAAAGGTATATGTAGTTCTAAAAAATGTAAGGCAAGGATATGCAAAAACTCATACAATAATGCAATAGTGTTTTCATCCCTCTCTCACACATACTAATTTGACTGTCAAAGGGGTAACGTCGAAAAATACTTCGGCACCCTTATAACTTTCTTTTTTGAGTAACAGATTCCCTTTCGACTGGCCAGAATTGCGTGGATAGCTAAAAAAACAATTCATAACCACTCCTTACAATCTTTCTAGTTTTTCGTTGCCTCTGGATTCTCGACTTTTAGGTAAATCTCGTGTTCGCCAAATGAGAGATCTGTTATATTTTTTTATTGTGCGAAAATCATCGCGTATGGTAATCTAAAAAAATACTTACATCTCTTGCCAAAAAAGGATTGAGTGACTCTCTCTCTCTTTCACAACCAACACCCCAGCTTTGAAAAACCTTCCCCATTGGTGTCGCCCCTCCTTCACCCGAAATCTTCACCTGCCAAATTTAGGTATATTNGAAATTCAAACTACTTTTGAGGTGCAATTTGCGATTACCCCATAATTATATTGCCATCGTCCTGTCCTTTCTGTTTGGGGGTTTCGTCGTTTTTTTGCAGAACAAATAACAAGAAGAGCTCTCTCTCTCTCTCTCTCTCTCTGTATATGTGTCTCTATGCATCTCTCTCTCTCGCTCTTAATTGGGCGATTATTATAACGTAAGTATTTTTCATTTCCTTGCGATTTTTTGTAACTACGCATTGAATTTGCTGGTAACAGATAGATGTCCTCGATTTGCTTTCTATTTTCAGAAGATTTTTTCGATTTTTTTTGTTTGCTAGGAATCTCCTGAAAAAAGGTAGTTTTTTTTTGGCTTCTTCCATGCTTTTATTGTGATCATCAAATTTAAAATCCACATTTCGTCGTTTAAACTGGATTGTTTTGCTATAATCACGTGTTTATTGCACAAGAAAACTGTGATTTGTAGTGGGGACTATTTTTGTTGTGTAGAAGGTGAAAATTGTGATCGTTTTCTTTATTGCTTTTGTTTAACCTACTGAAATGTAAGTCCGGAACACTCTTGACTTTTTGGTACCGTTGGAGCTTAGAAGTGTTATTTTGGCATTTACTGGTGGGGTTGGAGGAATCGTGGGAATTTATTCGAGGTTCTGGTGATTGGCGGTAATAGAAAGGAATTATACTACTATTAGGCTGAGAATAATTTTGTGGGATGGGTTGGTGACTTGGTGTACAACAGCAACAGGCAAATGACTAAGCTTCAGTTGGGTGAGCTTTAAGTCCCTCCGCACATTGACCTTTTGCCCAAAAAAAAGTAGTTGTAATTTATATTGCAGCTCAACCACCACAATTGCCTTCTAACTCTGTCATTTCCTTTAAGTGAAACACCTTTTTAGAAGTACTAGCATAGCCTAATTGTGTGAAAGACAGAACCCATGTTCAGTGAAAATTGGAGACTTGAAAGTGCAATGAAAAAAAAAAAACGTGTTAGTTATATTTTTTCTTTTGATGGTTTTTTTTGGGGGGTGGGGGAGGGGAAGTTTGTATGCTGAACATGATGTAAGTTGCAAAACTCAAACATAGGTTTGCAGTGTGCATCTTGCATTTATTTTTCTTAAGAGGCATTAATATTTAATATTGAAGCTTGAGCTGTAAGTATTGACCTTTTTCTTGAGCTTAAAAGAAAATATAAAAGAGAAAATAGAGTAGGTTGTCACCTTTTCAACTCCTTCCTGATCTTACTACATTTTCAGCACTTACTTTTCGCTGTAAATGTTTTGTTAGAAAGTTATCAGTTTATTTTTTCTTTGGTTAATACTTTAGCTGTAAAGCAAGTGGTACTATGCTAAACTTCTGTGCATCTCCGGTTTGGTTTTACGCATGCTTGTTTTGGCAGGAGAGGATATTAAATATGGAGAAAAATGAAGAGACAGGTAGCCCTGGTTGGAGTGCTTCATTCTTCATGCAGACAACTGAAGATGTTGCTCGAGCTGTTGCTGCAGCTGCAACTACTGTTCGTTCTTCACGGCCATCAGTTGTTTTTTCATCGAAGGATGACAGTGGTAGTCAACTTCAGAAACTTCAGAGCCAATTTTCTAGAGTGCTGAAAGGCTTCTCAAGTCCTCCTGAAGTGAAAAGTGGAACTTACAATCCAGAAATCCTAACTAGCCAAAAACGTCAATGGACAAGCTTTCAGTTGCAGTCCTTGGTATGCTTTTCTCTCAAATGGATTCCCTGGGCCAGGGTTTCTCATCTCTTTAGAAGCTCTTTTTTTTCCCTTTTTTCCTTTCCCTTCTTGGCTTGGTTGTTTTTGATTGCCTTGTACATGCCTGCAACATGTATTACTTACTTCAAGAAAGCATGATATGAGGATAATGCTTGTAATGATACAATTTGATCCAAGCATTTGTCATATTGCTGAATACTTCCTATTGAAATGTTGAGAAAATATGTGGATTTTTAGTGCAAAACCTTCTATGATTCGCTCACAAAAATTTGAGCTTCTGTTTTTGTGTTTCATCCATTAATAAGTGTTTTAGTGTGCAGGATAATAGAATTTTCAGTAAACCATCAAGGCTTCTTGAGAGTGTGGTAGTGGCTGGACTTCATCCGAACTGTGATCTTCAGACACTTCACAAGCAATACTTTGGTAGAAAGTCTGAAGGTTCAGGTAGATTTCGAAGTGCGCTTAGTGGTCAATATCAGTCACGTGTAGAACCGAATATTGAGCCACAGGTGCTGAATTATTGTTCCCAAAATATATGACATCTTTGCATTTCAAGTTTGTGAAATTGTGTTGATGAGATGTGATTTTCTGTGTTGCTCTGCAGGTCTTATTTGNGTTTTTGAGTAAAAAAAAAATTTTAGATAATTTTATATCATTCGATCAAAATAGATAAAAATTAAATTAATTTTAATCTTTATTATATTTTTATTAGTTAAGAATTCGATTTCTTACATGTAATATTGGATAAGTAGACAACTTTATGCGTCACAAAAATTGGATAATGGTGGACCCTCCTCTATATCCTTGATCCTTGACATAGCACATCATGATTGTCTACCAAAAAAAGGGTAAATGAAAGCTTCACCACGCATGATAAACACTTCCAAGATGTTGACCCCACGATACCCGGCCGATGTGGCTCGTTGACTTTTTGTTTACAAAGACCCGGCGGCTTCAATGGGCAGAGCGACTCACAGTCACAGGCAGTTATGCAGCTGGGACTGTTTATGCTGTATAGTCGGTGTAATTAATTTAAAGGAAATTTCGTATTCTACTCTACTCCCTTAAATTTAGGAAAGTACCACCATCATTTCTATTTTGGTCCTTAAAGTAATAGTGACATTTTAAATCTTTAAATCAAATATTTAGCTCGACTAAGTTCTTTTGACGGAATAGTCTCACGTGAGTCACGTGTTTAGGCCACATAGGTAGTTTTAAAAAAAAATAAAATAAAAAATTCTTTCAATTTAGTAGCTAAAAATACCTAAAGTCATTTTAAGACAAAAATAACAATGTAATTGATGGGACACTTTAGAGAGTCGCCCAATAATCGACACGTGTTACTGGCACCAGAGATGTACGGTCACAAAAAACTGACACGCGTCTTCGACACACTCTCCTTGGAGCTCTATTATTGAGACACATGTCCTTGGCATGTGTGATCCTTCCTCGGTACCAAGAACGTGGAGGCACAAAAGACTGACACGTGTTATCAACATACACCCCCTCAAAGCTCTGTTATTGAGACACGTGTGATCCCTTCTCGACGTCATCTGCAAGTGACACATGTCATCAGCACAAAAGTTCTGCAATATCCCTACGAACGACACATGTCTTCAGCGTGATTGACTCTCCCGAGGTTTATTTCTTTACATGTCACCTTGGCTCCCAGACCTAGAAGCAAAGGTATTAGAATTACGATTATCCTTATTTAGAGTTAAACTTGATCAATAATCATTAACTTGCCTTCTCAAAACAGTCGGGTTGACGGGATGTAACCAATGACAATATTACATGTGGCACAATGCACAAAATCAGAGGTCAATTGATAAAGATGCTCTCGCTTGTGATAGTTGTCCCAAGGAAGTATTAAATAACATTCATGGCTCGGCGGACTCCGAAAGAAGCGCATTAACTTCTCGGGGCCCTGAGCATTAAACGTGAATAACCCTCTTTCATGCAATAAAGGGGACACTTTGCCTAAGAACTGCGCCCTACAGATTATCCCTGCAAAAGGACTAATGAGAGGCTTTCTCTTTGGGAGACCCACATGTCTATAACGATTACTTCTATAAAGGTATATGTAGTTCTAAAAAATGTAAGGCAAGGATATGCAAAAACTCATACAATAATGCAATAGTGTTTTCATCCCTCTCTCACACATACTAATTTGACTGTCAAAGGGGTAACGTCGAAAAATACTTCGGCACCCTTATAACTTTCTTTTTTGAGTAACAGATTCCCTTTCGACTGGCCAGAATTGCGTGGATAGCTAAAAAAACAATTCATAACCACTCCTTACAATCTTTCTAGTTTTTCGTTGCCTCTGGATTCTCGACTTTTAGGTAAATCTCGTGTTCGCCAAATGAGAGATCTGTTATATTTTTTTATTGTGCGAAAATCATCGCGTATGGTAATCTAAAAAAATACTTACATCTCTTGCCAAAAAAGGATTGAGTGACTCTCTCTCTCTTTCACAACCAACACCCCAGCTTTGAAAAACCTTCCCCATTGGTGTCGCCCCTCCTTCACCCGAAATCCTCACCTGCCAAATTTAGGTATATTTAAAAAGGACATATTAAGTGTTTGGATGTCCGGCTTGGACAAGGTTGAGAGGTGGATAAATAATGCTTAGATGCATGTTTTTTTTTTATTTTTTAAATTCATATACGAGGGCAAATGTCAAAAATTCCCTTCTACCCTATCATGTGTGAGCCACGTGAGGCCATTCCGTCACAAAAAAATTTAAACACTTTCATTCAAGAGACCAGATTGAAACACGAGTGACACTCAAAAGGATCGGAAGGAATTTGCAATTGGTAATTAATTTATAGACCAAAATTGATATGAGTCATACATTATGGGTATAAAATGTAATTTATCGGTAATAAAATTTTATTTCGCTTTACGGCTGAGTAACATGGCGCCCTCCACGCCAAAAACCAGCCACTTTGGCCGGTAAGGAACACTTCGGAAGCTAATCCGTGTCGCCAAACACCATTTTATAATTGCATCTCTTTTAATTCAAGCATTTTGACACATTTAGTCAAACTAATTAAAATAATGCGAATAGATTAAGAACAGATCTATATTATATATTAAACGAATTAATTCAGGGGAGAGTACTGAAATTTTATTTTATTTTTTATAATTCTTATATTAAGATAAGTGGGTGAATATAATAATAAAAAATATTATAAATTTTATGCATTACACAAGTCATCTATGGTCTAAACTTAAACTATATAAAAAGAAAATAGTAAAACGACCGTCCTTAGATGCAGTTTTATTAATGTGATTCGATGCACACGAGGTCCAAGGAGGCGACGACTCTCTTTTCCTATTATTTTTCCATTTATCTTAAACTGAAATATTTTAAAATAATAACTTAATAGTTAATTAATTACTCATTCTTGCTAGAATTATAATAATTAAAGGGTTAGTCATAAATTATATCCTAAAAAATATCTTAAATTTTAATTTATACCCTCAAAGGTAATAAATCTTAATTTACACCCTTAAAATATAAATTTGTATCGATGTGCATGTGAAATTATCGGCCAACAAACTTACCNAAAATATAAATTTGTATCGATGTGCATGTGAAATTATCGGCCGACAAACTTTTATGAGCTCTAAAACTAGTTGGATAAGTTACACTTAAATTCTCTCAAATTTATTACTTAATTATTTGGATACCTTACATTTAAAATATTACTTATACACCTCCTGACGTTTATGCATGTACAGTACAATAATCTCTTGTTGTTGATATCTGTTAATATAATCGTTAAAAAATATAATTTCATCATAATAAAAAATTATAATGTTCATACTATCCTTTATTTTGTGAGTCCGTTATACTATAAAGTTCAAAATTAAATTTATCATTTGAATCTCCAATATAATATATGTATTTATATAATGTTCTTTATATTCAATACAATATATCACTTCATTTTGTGAATCCATTATACTCTAAAGTTTAAAATTAAATTTATCATTTGAATGCCAAATATAATATATGTATTTATATATTATTTTTTATATTCAATGCAATATATCACTTGAATAAAATTATTTAGATGTCTAATTAAAGAAATATTTTTAGTCATATTTAGATTAATAGGGATGAATGTATAATATTTTAAACGTGGAAGGCCTAAGTGATTAATAACAAGCATAAAAGAGTTTAAATATAATTTATCCATTTAATTTTATATGTCAAACGGACTGCTGTTGTTTTAAGTGCTCACATTGATACAGATTTGTACATTTAAGAGTTCAAATTAAAATTTTTGATTTTGAGGGTATAAATTCTGATAAAAAAAAGGGTATAAATTGAAATTCAAACTACTTTTGAGGTGCAATTTGCGATTACCCCATAATTATATTGCCATCGTCCTGTCCTTTCTGTTTGGGGGTTTCGTCGTTTTTTTGCAGAACAAATAACAAGAAGAGCTCTCTCTCTCTCTCTCTCTCTCTGTATATGTGTCTCTATGCATCTCTCTCTCTCGCTCTTAATTGGGCGATTATTATAACGTAAGTATTTTTCATTTCCTTGCGATTTTTTGTAACTACGCATTGAATTTGCTGGTAACAGATAGATGTCCTCGATTTGCTTTCTATTTTCAGAAGATTTTTTCGATTTTTTTTGTTTGCTAGGAATCTCCTGAAAAAAGGTAGTTTTTTTTGGCTTCTTCCATGCTTTTATTGTGATCATCAAATTTAAAATCCACATTTCGTCGTTTAAACTGGATTGTTTTGCTATAATCACGTGTTTATTGCACAAGAAAACTGTGATTTGTAGTGGGGACTATTTTTGTTGTGTAGAAGGTGAAATTTGTGATCGTTTTCTTTATTGCTTTTGTTTAACCTACTGAAATGTAAGTCCGGAACACTCTTGACTTTTTGGTACTGTTGGAGCTTAGAAGTGTTATTTTGGCATTTACTGGTGGGGTTGGAGGAATCGTGGGAATTTATTCGAGTTTCTGGTGATTGGCAGTAATAGAAAGGAATTATACTACTATTAGGCTGAGAATAATTTTGTGGGATGGGTTGGTGACTTGGTGTACAACAGCAACAGGCAAATGACTAAGCTTCAGTTGGGTGAGCTTTAAGTCCCTCCGCACATTGACCTTTTGCCCAAAAAAAAGTAGTTGTAATTTATATTGCAGCTCAACCACCACAATTGCCTTCTAACTCTGTCATTTCCTTTAAGTGAAACACCTTTTTAGAAGTACTAGCATAGCCTAATTGTGTGAAAGACAGAACCCATGTTCAGTGAAAATTGGAGACTTGAAAGTGCAATGAAAAAAAAAAAACGTGTTAGTTATATTTTTTCTTTTGATGGTTTTTTTTGGGGGGTGGGGGAGGGGAAGTTTGTATGCTGAACATGATGTAAGTTGCAAAACTCAAACATAGGTTTGCAGTGTGCATCTTGCATTTATTTTTCTTAAGAGGCATTAATATTTAATATTGAAGCTTGAGCTGTAAGTATTGACCTTTTCCTTGAGCTTAAAAGAAAATATAAAAGAGAAAATAGAGTAGGGTTGTCACCTTTTCAACTCCTTCCTGATCTTACTACATTTTCAGCACTTACTTTTCGCTGTAAATGTTTTGTTAGAAAGTTATCAGTTTATTTTTTCTTTGGTTAATACTTTAGCTGTAAAGCAAGCGGTACTATGCTAAACTTCTGTGCATCTCCGGTTTGGTTTTACGCATGCTTGTTTTGGTAGGAGAGGATATTAAATATGGAGAAAAATGAAGAGACAGGTAGCCCTGGTTGGAGTGCTTCATTCTTCATGCAGACAACTGAAGATGTTGCTCGAGCTGTTGCTGCAGCTGCAACTACTGTTCGTTCTTCACGGCCATCAGTTGTTTTTTCATCGAAGGATGACAGTGGTAGTCAACTTCAGAAACTTCAGAGCCAATTTTCTAGAGTGCTGAAAGGCTTCTCAAGTCCTCCTGAAGTGAAAAGTGGAACTTACAATCCAGAAATCCTAACTAGCCAAAAACGTCAATGGACAAGCTTTCAGTTGCAGTCCTTGGTATGCTTTTCTCTCAAATGGATTCCCTGGGCCAGGGTTTCTCATCTCTTTAGAAGCTCTTTTTTTTCCCTTTTTTCCTTTCCCTTCTTGGCTTGGTTGTTTTTGATTGCCTTGTACATGCCTGCAACATGTATTA